GACCCCCAATGGTGAGAAGTGATGGGATCTGTAGTCTAAAAGCATCTGCAGCACCACGGGTTCCCTTGGTTCAAACGTCCTGGATCAAGTCAATGGCCCAACCAGTCCGGCATCTTGTTTTCACATTGGTTACCCAGATAGCCACAGAAAGCATGGAAGGAGGACCTGAGCACAACCACTCTCTCCCCCTCCTATGGTTTTCAGCAGCTGGTACAAGGAAACAGAATGCCATTGACCGTGGAGATGGAACATGGTCGTCATGGTTAGTAGTTATGGAGAGTCTTATCTTTCCAGAAATATGTTTAATCCTCTTTTAAGCCCATCCAAGTTGATGGCCATCGCTGCCTCTTGTGGGACTCATGGCTCTGACAAGCAAAACAACCCATGCCAAACACCCAACAACCCACAGCTGCCTAACAAAACTTCTTTGTTGCATATCTTGTCTTTTTCCGGTCATAATTACGCTCTATTAATCATACAAGGTGGAGAGGTAACAAGGCTCTTTTGAGGGTTTATGTTTTCGGAGCTTTGCCACAATATTAATGCGATGCAGGTGCCCGCTCAGTCCTCTGGCAGTTCTACTTTGAAAGATTGTTTTGCCGATAAAAAGAAGGGGATGGGAGAGAGAGCGAGAGAAGATGAGATTGATGCATCAAATACGAGGCAAGGGAAGCAAAGGGATGCGAAGAACAGGCCTGGCGCAGAGAGCGTCTTAACGCATTCGTCACAGATTACAATACCTGATGGCTGGCCTGGGTCCCTCGCGCTTGGACGGTTGCCAGTCTGTCATAGTAGCGAGAAATCGGGCTGTCGTGCTCAATCCCCTTCTTGGCACAGCGCTGCTTGTAGATCTCCACGAGGGAGAGAGATGAAGGATTGTCTTCGACCAGGCGCATCTGTGGAGAGACTGCCACGACTCGGGGGACTGGAGACAGGGAGAAAGGGGAAAATGTAAAGTTAATGTCCTGGAGGATCAAAGCGAACAAGCCCAACACATTATTTTCCCTCCTTTCCCCAGGACAGCCGTAACCATCAGGCCTTGTCCTTGCTTTTAAAGCTCTCCTGAGGCCTCCCCAGCCTCCATGTCTGCTCTTCTCTCCCAAGACATGCAAATCCATAACCTCTTTGTTTTTCCTACCATCCTCAGCTTCTCAAAGGCTTCCTTGTTCCTCGGGAGCATGCTGCTGTACTCAGGTACTGGTTGTAAGCCTCCCAGAGGCACCTGGATGGCCACTGCGAGAAGAGGATGCTGGGCTGGACCAGCCATTAGACTGATCCAGCAGGGCTTTTCTTATGTTCTTAGATGACATCGCCCATTCAGCATGGTGCTGTCGCCAAAGTTGCATGTCTGGTCCCCATATGGGACAGCTGCATATTCCTGCATTCCCGGGGGGGGGGGGGAGAGTCGATCCTCAGGGTCCCTTCCAGCTCTAAAACTCTATGATTCTTGCGTCTCTTTGGAGGAAGAGTAGGGGGAGCAGGACCCCTCCCTGGAGAGAGACCTGCACTGGCAGAGGTGGGACTGAATCCAGGTATCCCCACCCTAAGACCAGGGGTCTCCACACCAGTTGGCTGGGATCCTGGCCAGCTCTCTCCCTCACATACATGCCCATCACCCCCTGAGCTGCAGCAGCAGAGAAAATGGCCAGCAAGACCTCTTGTCAAAGCACCTGGCTAGCTAGACGTGAGGCTACTTTGCAGGAGAGTAAAGTAGATCAAGCACCTACATGGTTTGGGACTTGGCTGAGAGCCTGGAAGGGATGGAGCCTCCACTTTCTATACAAGTTTCCCAAAGGCTGATGAGATGCTTTACAGCTGCAGCGAAAGCTCCCTCAGAGCTTCAAGCCTTCCTGAACTGCGGAAACTGACACCGTCCCTCCTCAAAACTTTGGCCGCAATATTAAGTTGATTAATCGGTTCGATTAAATTGACTGGAAACATTTCAACAGACCTATAAAAGCTCCTCTCATTAAAACCAGTCAGCAGAGTTTAAAGCATTTAAAATGATTTAATACAAAAAGACACTCTCTTCTGTGTGTGAGGGGGAAAAAGGGGGAGGGATGCCTCTCCTAAGAGGACAAAAGCTGCAACACATGCATGCACTGCTAAGCGCAAGGGTGAGGAAACCTCTGTCCCTCCAGTTGTTGTTGGACTCCAACTCTTATCGGTCCCAGTCAACGTTCCCAGCGGCCATAGATGATGGGTGCTGTAGTTGAACAACACCTGGAGTTACAGGTTTGGAGGGAGGGACACCTTTTTAAAAGAACTTTTGGGCTTTTTTCCTCATATGCAAATGTATGCAGATTTAATAATCAACCAACCAACCATTTAACTGAGTAAAAGATTAACCCAAAACTTAAACCTTCCCTGTGAAACCTTTGTGTGACCCTTTTGGCAAGCTGAAACCCAAGCTTAACTGCATATAATAACTGCATTTGCTCACATTAGTCCCTTGTTATCCTTGTTTGTCCTTTGTTGCCTTTGCCAAGGTCAAAAATCCAGGTGTTCAAATGGTCCCCCGATGCTGCCATGGTAAAATCCCTGGCTAGGGCTAGTAGGAGTTGCCTCACGTGTTCCTCAATCTTGCCATAGGACAGGGGTTAGGAACCTCTCACTTGCAGGCCAAATCTGGCCCAGCAAAGGTCTCAATTGGCCCACAAGCTGTTTTCCCCAAACCACTTGCAGCTGCTCCATACCCAATATCATACATGGTGTCAGGTGTGGGGCAAACAGAGATGTGGCTGGATCAACTGCACAATCGGGTTCCCTGTGGGGAACTTGATCATGAAGCCGATCCTGCAGAAAGCAGTTTTAAAGGCATGGCCAATCAAGTCTGCTGGATTGGTTATGTGACTGAGATTTCCCTGGGGAGCTCAGTTGTGGAACTGATCCCTGGAGAAAGAAGCTCTGCCAGCTTTGTGCCAGCAGGTAACAGCAGTGGATTGACTGGTGGGTTGTCAAAATTGGCTAACGGCGGTGGGTAACAATAAATATCTGACCTGCTGGATTCCCCACCAGTTATAGGATCTGACCATAAAGGTTCCCCACCTATTGTTGGACTATTGGAAGCTGCCTTATGCAGAGTCAAATCATCAACCCATCTAGTCTTTGCAGCCTGGCAGTGGCTTTCTCAAGGGTTTCATACACAAGTCTTTCCCAGCTATACATTAAGATGCACACCAGGCCCTATCTAGGCACAGGTATCCCTGTTAAAACTTCTCTTTGCTGCAAACCATTCTACAAAGGGGGATGTTACAACCTTACACAGTTCAGGACCTCAATATCTTAAGGACTGCCTCTCCCCATACGAACTGACCCGGACCCTGCGTTTGTCATCCAAGACCCTCCTGTATGTCCTCCCTTCCTGAGAGGATTGGAGGGTGGCGGCATGAGAACGAGCCTTTTCTGTGGTGGCTCCCCGACTGTGGAATGCTCTCCCCAGAGAGGCTTGCCTGGTGCCATCATTACATGTCTTTAGGTGCCAGGCAAAAACATTCCTCTTTACCCAGGCCTTTGGCCCTTAAATAATCTATGACCTGTTAAATGTGGGGACGCTGCTGCCTATTATTATGATTATTTTATGAGTATACTTCTATTATTATGCTCCATAAAATAGGGTTTTTTATGTAGTACTCTGCCCTAGGGGTATAGAAATCAAATAAATAATAATTATAATAAACCTGAGCTTGGGCTACACCACAGGACTGAAATAACCTTTTCACTTATGGTGCCTCATGAGCAACAAGCACAAGGAGAAAAGGGTTTGCAAGAAGAAGCCTTCTACATCGAAGCAGATTCGGGACTGGCAAAGTATGTAGATATCAGTTCTTCCACTGCCGTGATGCTCGGCCTGAAGCGTGTCAAGTGGCACTCGTCGTCCACTCTCGGCACACTCAAGAGCTCTGCTATGAAAGAGAACTCACAAGAAAGAACCATTTGTTTGTACTAGACGCCAGGCCCCACAAAGGCATTTCTGAATGAAGAGCTGTATTACCCTGAACAGGATTTCAAGCCTCCCATTGCTACACCACGCCAGCTGCAAATCTGGAGAGTCGTGGGCTACTCTGCTCACTTTTATGTCAGAGACAAGGATAATTTCTGCTCAGATAAAAATCCACCTACTGCTGACACGCTCGCTTTATCCGATTATGCCGTGAAGCACAATTTTTCGTTCCGAAAGAAGAAAGCCCAACCCTGGCTCAAAACTATGGGAGGCTCGGGAGAACGGCAGCAACTAGAGAGGAAAGGCCTGGCAAGCAGAGAGGAAGCGACCTTCAGCGACAAGGTTATTCCTGCTTCACTAAGGCTCTGCCGGGATGCCTTTAGCTCCGCTTTATACCTGATGCGTCACCAGCCAAAGGCTCTACATTCTGTTCTTGTATACAACCAAGTCGGACTCAGGGAAAACCCAATGAAATTAATGGACCAATGTTCACCATCATGTCTGTTCAGTCAAATGGGTTGACTCCCGAGTATGACTAACATTGGATACAATAATTAGTGGGACGCGGGTGGCGCTGTGGTCTAAACCACTGAGCTTCTTGAGCTTGCCAATCAGAAGGTCGGAAGTTCAAATCCCCGTGACAGGGTGAGCTCCAGTTGCTCTATTCCAGCTTCTGCCAACCTAGCAGTTCAAAAGCACACCAGTGCAAGTAGATAAATAGGTACCACTGCGGCAGGAAAGTAGACGGCATTTCCGTGCTCCCTGGCACTCGTCATGGTGTCTCGTTGTGCCAGAAGCAGTTTATTCATGCTGGCCACATGACTCGGAAAGCTGTCTGCAGACCAAGACTGGCTCCCTTGGCCTGAAGCGAGATGAGTGCCACAACCCCATAGTCCCCTTTGACTGGACTTAACCATCCAGGGGACCTTTACCTTTTTTACAATAATTAGTAGCAGTAGTACAGGTAAGTAGCATCTTATGCTCCTTTAATTAGAATCACAGAACTATTGGAACTCCGAGGATAATCTAGTCCAACCCCTGCAATGCAGGAATCCTTTGTCCAATGTGGGGCTTGAACCCACAACTTTGAGATTAAGAGTCTCATGCTCTGCCATCTGAATTACTTGATTGCGGCTTTGCCTCAGACAGCATGGGCCAATGGTCAGAGATGATAGCAGCTGTAGTCCTGCAATATCTGGAGGGCCACAGGTCCCCCACTCCTGCCACTGAGGGAGCCTCTCTGCTATGTAGTAGAGGGATCAAGGTGAATGAGCAAAGGTGCACAAATGGTGGCTTGGCTTACAAGCCAGCTGTTACTCGTTTTCACAAGCAACGCCCACCCTGGTCTGTGGACAGTTGCAGAGGGCTTTGGAGAGCGCAAGACTTCTTAGCTGCATGGAGGGATGGAGAAAAATAGCAGGAAAGGCTCCTGCTGTTTCTTTCCTGCTCCAAACTGAAGCGCAAGTGGAAGAAGACTCCCCTTCTCCTTTGAGCAAGCCCTCTGACGAGTGCAAAGGGCTTGGGATGTTGAAGTCTTCTCTTCTCTGCGCCATTAAGAAAGAGCAGAAGAAACTCCCGCTGTTTCTTTTTGTATTCAAACCTCAGCGTGAACGAGAGTCTGGGAAAGGATTCCTTGCATCCTTCCAGCCAGAGGACTGACAGCTGGCGTGCCAGGGGACCCTTCGGAACTCAGGACTTGTCTTCTCAACACATCTTGAGGTTGCGCATAACAAAAAGTTATTCAAGACACTTGAAGACGTATGATCCTTTAGAGCTCCTTGTTTGAAATCCTAGGAACAGCTCACTGCACCCATACCTACCTGTGAAAAAGAGATGCCTCTTTGTGGTTTCTTTCCTCTTCTCCAAACAGGGGTTGAGGAGGCGAAGGAGCTGTAATACTCGTTCTTCTCTGCGTGACTCTGTCAGGCAAGCGTCGTTCATTACGAGATACGGGTAAATCTTTCCATTATGACCTCGGATATAGAGTCTTCTGGCTGCAGTGTTATGCTTTTGTACTATCTCCACTCTGGGCATAAACCTATCAAGGGGGTGGGGAAGAGAAAAAAAGAAAGAGATAAAAGCACCTGAGCTTTCAAAGTCCAAAGCTTCATTTCTTTCCTCCAAGATGAAAGCTAAGATTTTTATTTTTTTTTAAAAAAAGGGGGGGAGACCCTGAAATGCCATACTTAAAGCTAACAAAATGAAGCATATTAGCGGCTGAGTTTTTGTAAAACTAATATTCTCATTATGAATTTTTATAATGATGCAGCTACATTTTCTATTACGCGGCTCAGCCAAGACTGGTATTTTGTATGAAAAGCTTCCAGCATCTTTTGTCTTCTCCAAATTGACTGAGAAATGATTTTTTCAATAGACAGAAACAACAAAACCAAGTCGCTTGGTGTAGCTTGGGTTCTGATTTCCATATTACTGTCAGTGAAACCACGACATGAGCAGAAGACCAAGCATGCAATTGGATGTGCTTCAGATTTGAGAGCAGTTACAGAAGTTTAAAGGTCATCCACTGCTGCTGATACTGCCACACACACACACCCTTCCCCAAAATCTCTCTCAAGTACACATGGAAGAGCTAAACTGAAATGTATCCAAAACGGTCTTGAAAGGCAGAAAATAAATCCATTCTCCTTTAAAAAATGGCTTAATTCGAATTCTGCACAACTTCTCAACCCACCAAGCTGAATCCAGCCCATTACCTGCAGCCCAACATATACTCAACAAGGCCAACAGAAGAATCACACAGCTGCAGTGTGTGTGTGTGTCTGTCTGTCTGTCTTGCAAGCCATCTAATCTAACCACATGCTTGATGCAGGAAAATCCAGAGAGAGAGAAACCCTAACAGATGGCTGCCCAACATCTGCTTACAAAACCTCCGGTGCAGGAGAATCTATGGCAATTGGTTCCACTGGTGAACTGCTCTTACTGTTAAAGACATTTCTCTAACATTTTACCCATTAAATCTAGCCCTGCCCTGGGAGCATAGGAAGCTGCCTTAAACAACTGGTCCATATAGCTCCATACTGTCTACACTGACTGGCAGTGTCTCTCCAGGGTCACAGACAGATGTCTCCCTCCCAGCCCAACCAGCAGATGCTATCCTGGGACCTTTCACAATAAAAGCAGTTGCTCTACCACCAGTCTTTGCCCTCTGTGTGACAGCTCTACAGGTACTGTAGGATCATAGAATCGTAGAGTTGGAAGGGACCATGAGGATCAGTTAGTCCAACCACCTCCAATGCAGGAATCCTTTGCCAACATGGGGCTTAATAATAATAATAATTCTATTATTTATACCCCGTCCATCTGATTGGGTTGCTCCAGCTACTCTAGGTGGCTTCCAACATATATAAAAACATAATAAAACATAACACATTGAAAGCTTTCCTACACAGGGCTGCCTTCAGTTGTCTTCTAAAGCTTATATAGTTATGCATCTCCCGGACACTGAGGTCCAGTGCCGAGGGCCTAATGGCAGTTCCCTCACTGCAAGAAGCAAAGTTACAGGGACCCAGGTAGAGGGCCTTCTTGGTAGTGGCGCCTGCCCTGTAGAACGCCCTCCCATCAGATGTCAAGGAAATAAACAACTATATGACTTTTAGAAGACATCTGAAGGCAGCCCTGTTTAGGGAAGTTTTTAATGACTGATGTTTTAATGTATTTTTAATCTTTTGTTGGAAGTCGCCCAGAGTGGCTGGGGAAACCCAGCCAGATGGACGGGGTAGAAATAATAACAACTTCTTCTTCTTCTTCTTCTTCTTCTTCTTCTTCTTCCTACTACTACTACTACTACTATTGAAAAGGCCCTCTGCCTGGTTCCCTGAAACTTCACTTCTCGCAACGAGGTAACAGCCAGAAGGCCCTTGGTGCTGAATTTGTGTCCAGGCTAAACAATGGGGGTGGAGATGCTCCTTCAGATATACAGGGCCAAACCCACAACCCTGATATTAAGAGTCTCATGCTCCAAGTTATCCCAGTTTGGTAGTACCTGAGCATGCCCTCACTCGGCCTTGTGTTCTTCAAGCCTGAATGATCCATTGAACCATTCCTCATAGGATGCACCTTCCATACCATCTTCTCTGAACCTTTTCCAGCCTGTCAATTTATCTACCTGCAGCACACACAACTTAAGACTGCATCTAACTACATCCCACGCAACACTAGATGCACGAAATTAATGAACCTATGCTAGTCACACCCATTAATTTCGACGGACCTACTCCGAACACTTTTTACAACCCATTGCTCCATATGAGCACTGAGCAGGGGTGGAGGTGGAGCCAACTCAGCGGCCGACACTTAGCGGCAGGACACCTGTTTTGCATGAAGAAGGGTTCCCAGGTCAAACCCTGGCATCTCCAGACAGGGGACCAGGGAGCAGGAGGTGGCAGCAGGGACCTCTGCCTGAGCGCCTGAGGAGTCAGGGCCCATGAAAGCAGCTGTCATCTAACCTGGTTCAAGGCAGCTTCCCGTACATTTGGACTGATGGGTAGGCCTGTTTTAGATCTCGCTCATGCCAAAAATAAAATTCTTAGGCTCTCAACCTCAAAATCTGCAGGCAAAGTTCTGCTGAGAAAAAGAGAGCCTTCCTGCTCCCTCCCTCACCCCAGCTGCTCTCAACAGCCTGGGAGAACCCTCCCGAATGGTGTGCGCTGTCGTGTGATGTGCAGCAGCTGGGAGGAACTGGCAAAGACCTCTCCTCCCCTTCCGTCCTGTATGGCTGGAAGACCGTTTCTCTCACTTTTAAGCAAGACTGCTTTATACAGGTGAGTATTTATTTACTTTTTACTTAGTTGTTGCTGCTTTTCTTCTTCTTTTTTTAAAAAGTGCTTTTTTAAGTTTTCAAAAACAACAAGCAAACAAAAAAAATGTGTGGAGCACATTACTGCAGCTGGAAATAAAATACACAGAAATCTCATCATACTTCTGCAGACATCATAATAAAATAAGATTCTGCATTGGGACAGTTTGGAAGTAAGAGCCACATACTGGTAAGGTAGCCTTGCCACGTAGAGATGTGTATTGTTGTGGGCCTATGCAGTGCACTATTTTTATTTATAAAGCATATGAATGGTCACCATCTCACATCAAAATGGTCTTGTTTTAAAAACCCTCCAGTGATGGTTTAAATGCTCGGCCAAGGCTGTGTCCCATACTCTCCCAAACAATTCCACTAGAGGGAATTGATGCAGATGTCCAACGTAAGGCAATTTTGAGTCTGGCTGCAGCAAGCAGCAGAGCTAACAGCTCCTTGGGAACAAGGGTGGGATTTAAATCTCTTTCAAGAGCCAAGAGAGATAATACTGGGTCCTTGCTATTCAAAAAACAACAACGTTAGTCAAAAATATGGATGGTTAACTCATGAAAGACCTAGAAAGACTCAGTGGTATAAAGAGTGAAAAGAAAGTGAAATACCTGGAGATATGGTTAACAGCGAATAATAATAATATCTTTAATGATAACTGTGTAAAGGTTTGGAAAGAAATAAAAAAGATATGCAAATTTGGAGCAGAATGCAATTGTCACTGTTCGGCAAAATTTTTGCTATAAAAAAGAACGTACTTCCAAAGATGCTATTTCTATCTCAGACAATACCTATAGTTAATGATATTCGAAATTTTGGCAGGGAAGAAAACCCAGGACAACGCAAAATTATGATTGATACTGCTGCTGTTAATGCTACTTTCACTGCTATTTTGTTTTACTGTTGGGATTCTTTTGCTATTTTTATTCGTAAGCCGCCTTTTAAGTTTGACTGCATCACGGAAAGGTAGCATACAAGTGGGGAAATAAAGTGGCTTCAATTTGTGCAAAGGGTCCTTTAGATCGCCTTTGTGACTCCCAACATAGGAATACAGGAAGCTGCCTATTGCTCAATTTGGAAGTCAGACCATTGGTCAATCTAGCTCAGTATCGCCTACACTGGCTGGCAGTGGCTGTCAGGATTATGAACAGGAGCCTTTCTCAACTCTACCTGGAGATGCCAGGGATCAAAGCTGGCACCTTCAGCTGGCAAGGCAGATGCTCTACCACTGAGCTATGGCCCTTCCCCAGCAAACCATAGGTTTGCACCCAGATCTCACAAGTGCTATTCTAGAATGACAAAGAGATACGTCTAGCACAGGGTTTGAGAGCAGGGTACCAGCCACTTAAAATCAACAGCTCTGAACCCTTGGTCCATAAACTTTCGTAAAGGTGCTCTCTCTGCGGTCTCTGTCTTTGCCCCTGCAGGAAATGGCCGAGCTCAGCTTTCATGACTGTGTAGGAGGGATTTTAAAAACAACATATCAGCTCCCACACACTAAAAAGTAGTTGCTTGTTAGTCAGGACTCTATAAAGGACAGAATGCCTTCCTGTTGGCAGGCTTAGTTTCTCTCGCCTTGGAAAAAATCAAGCGTGCAGATGCACACTGCTGTTGGGAGCCCTTGGGAACATCTGACTAATCCCTGGCAAGACACCAAAGTAGATAATCAGGCCTTGAAATGGAAAGAAAAAAGAAAAAAGGTAGGAAACTAATGGCTCAAGACAGGGAAGGCCAATTTTGTTCAACCCTTGGTGCATCCACCAAATTTTAATCAATGCATGGAGGAAAAAAGGTTAGTCTGCAATTTTGCCTCCTAAGGAAAAGAAATTGTCAGGAAACAGAAATGCTCCAAAACCGAAATATTACACTTCTCATGGAGCATAAGGCAAAATCGTACTTTTCCCCCCAGATCTGTTAACTGTAGCTATTTGTTTACACTGCGTTTTCTATTTATTTATGGGATTTGTATTCTACCTTTCAACCTAAAATCTCTCAGAGCAGGATAGGGAAAGAGTGTATATTTATAAATGCAACAAAAAACAACACATCTAAACAAAACCGACACTTAAGGCTGCAGTTAAACTTCTTGGTAAAAATATCAGCTAAAAACTAGGGTAAAACAATGTTAGCACACCCTTAGGAGCCTGGCAACAGGAGATATGATGTGTGGTGCTATCCTTTTACTTTCTTTTGTAATCTATCTTTAGATCACAAGCCTTTGAGTTCAGCCTGTGTCACTTTAAATTCCTGTGCAGCACACATTGCTGCGATTTGTTAAAGGTGTTGGGAACTGTAGATTTGTGAGAAGGAAACTACAATTCCCAGGATTCTCTGGGGGAAGTCATGTGCTTTAGATGTGTGGCGTGGCTCTCCTGCTCGTCTTCCATTAATTTGTCTGTAAACCCGACCAAATATGGTGGAAGAAACTGTTTCAGGCCCCAGATGATTGTGTCTGGAGAACAGAGAAGCCCAGGAGAATGGAGAGGTTAATTTTGGGTTGGATCCAGACAAAGTTAGTTGAACTTAGGTTCCCAGGGAATCACTGAAGTTAATTTATGACTAACTAGTCTTCCTCCTAATAATAATAATAATAAATTTTATTTATACCCCGCCCTCCCCAGCCAAGGCCGGGCTCAGGGCGGCTAACAACCAATAATAAAAAAAAGTTGAATGAGTACAACTTAAAAACAAGATTAAAATACAACATTAAAACATTAAAAACATTAAAATGCAGCCTCATCACAGGAGGAGAAAGGAAAAAAGAAAGAGGGGGAGGGAATCAAATTGACTCCAAGCCAAAGGCCAGGCGGAACAACTCTGTCTTACAGGCCCTGCGGAAAGAAATCAGATCCTGCAGGGCCCTGGTCTCATGAGGCAGAGCGTTCCACCAGGCCGGAGCCAGCGTTGAAAAGGCCCTGGCTCTGGTTGAGGCTAATCTGACTTCCTTAGGGCCCAGGACCACTAGGGTGTTGCTATTTATGGACCTTAAGGTCCTCCGTGGGGCATACCGGGAGAGGCGGTCCCGTAGGTACGAGGGTCCTAGGCCGTGAAGGGCTTTAAAGGTCAAAACCAGCACCTTAAATCTGACCTTGTGCTCCACCGGGAGCCAGTGACCTACTAGTGACCTACGTTCAGCTACCTTAGCCTGGAACTAACTCAAGAAGTTCTGGTACGTATAACTAGTACACTTCCCAGCCTTAGCTTTCAACCCCGGATTTACCGTGCAATCTTGATGTAATAATGTGTCGGCTTTGGCATAAGGAACTCTCCAGGAATTTCCACTTCGGCTGTTTGGGCTGAGAAGTTGCTCAGGAATCGGCACTTTTCCTCTATGAGGAAGAACTTGGGAAGCTGCTTTGTTTTTGCCTCGAGAATTTTGATCCATTTCTTCAGCTTAGAAATAAGATTGTGGAGCTTCATGGAGCCTGGCACGCTGAAGTCGAAATCTAGCAGATAAAACAAAATAAATCCAACAGAAAATTGCTTGTTAGAAATGTGATGCAGGTATTTAATCAAAACTCTGCTTGGTGTAAACACCTTGCATAGTTAAGGTATCTGGGCTTTGGAGCCTTACCCCAGGGAACTGCTACTTTTATTCTTTACTGTTTGCACAATAGTAAAATGAAGGAAAGCAGGAAAGATTATTATCGCATACAATAGAAATTATTATAGTAGTCACTTTTAGCCTAACACACATTATTGCCAAGGAAATCCATGTATAAAATAGATGAGCTGTTAGCAAAAGCGATTCAAGCTCATCTGTTCCAATTTACACTGGCAGAGATTACACATTAAACATACTTGTTTCTGTCATTTGTTTTCCCATTATGTGGATGCTGTTTCTTGTTGGGCTATGTCTAAAACTACCTTTTTAAAAATGTCCCTGAGCACCTCTCTCTGTACCAGTGCAACAGAGAAAGAAGAAGAAGAAGAAGAAGAGGAGGAGGAGGAGGAGGAGGAGTTTGGATTTGATATCCTGCTTTATCACTACCCGAAGGAGTCTCAAAGCGGCTAACATTCTCCTTTCCTTTCCTCCCCCACAACAAACACTCTGTGAGGTGAGTGGGGCTGAGAGACTTCAGAGAAGTGTGACTAGCCCAAGGTCACCCAGCAGCTGCATGTGGAGGAGCGGAGACGCGAACCCGGTTCCCCAGATTACGAGTCCACCGCTCTTAACCACTACACCACACTGGCACAATTAACCGCATAGCATTGGTCGGGCAGTTCACCCACCTATCGGTCGGAATCAACACCTTCAAAAATACAACAACAAATGTTATCAAGTCACGTATGTGTTTTAATTCTCATAGAAACCGTCTTATATCTTAATTCACATACAAATCTACTTAAGGATTAAGATTTGTGCCTGAGGAAATTCTTGGAAGCAAGGCAAGTGAGAAAGACCAATAATCGTTCTTGACAGCAGTGGTAGCTGTGGCCCAGTATGGCTGTGGGCAAGGGAAAAGTTCCTGTGTGGTAGGCTGGCTCGCTGGCATCATCAACCCCAGCTAGCCGCAGGGAGTGATAGGAATCCTCTACCTCTTTACTGGCCAATTAGAGCCCAGGCTGCAGGGTGGAAATTTGGAGACAAGACCTCAGTAAGCCTGCTTCCACTCAGGTCCGTCTCCAAATCATAAAAACTGACTGCATAGCCTCCAAGCAGCATCAGACATCCCACCCTCCGGCCTTGTATAATTTTGTCCTCACCTAAAGGTAAGCAGGTGGTGCACGTGTGTGACCTTGCTGTGGAGTGGCTTGGTCGCCTTATTCAGGGTCAGGGAGGAATTTGCCTGAAGACGAATTGGGCTGGTTTGGAGGTTTTGCCTACCTCCATGCAACTGTCACAGCTTGTTGGCGGGAAAAGCAGTTGGGTTGCATCTTTAGTCTAATCAGGTGGCGGGGGGAGGAGACTTACCCTCTGTCCCCAGGACCAAAGCATCAGGGTACCCCACAGTAAAGGGGTTTGTCTGTATGTCCAGACAAGGGCTAACAGGCCACAGAACTCCCCATTTGGCATTCTGTATGGGTCACCTGTATAAAGAAGGCTGATTGCCAAAGAATTTATGCTTCTGAATTATGGTGCTGGAGGGGACTCTTGAGAGTCCCATGGACTGCAAGATGATCAAACCTATCCATTCTGAAGGAAATCAGCCCTGAGTGCTCACTGGAAGGACAGATCTTGAAGCTGAGGCTCCAATATTTTGGCCACCTCGTGAGAAGAGAAGACTCTCTGGAAAAGACCCTGATGTTGGGAAAGATTGAGGGCACAAGGAGAAGGGGACGACAGAGGACGAGATGGTTGGACAGTGTTTTCGAAGCTACTAACATGAGTGACCAAACTGCGGGAGGCAGCGGAAGACAGGAGTGCCTGGTGTGCTCTGGTGCATGGGGTCAGGAAGAGTCGGACATGACTAAACAACAACAACATGGGTCACCTGTATTTGATATGTGTCACGTGGGGATGCTTAACCCAAGACTGACCCTGATGAAGTTGTCATCCAGCAACCAGGATACATATCCAATGCCTAAGCCAAAGCCTTCTTGCATCCGCAATCAATAAAGTTGTGGCCATTTTGATCCCAAAAAGGTTTTCATGTCATTTATTGCTTCCTATGCAACAGGAACCCTGATGAACTCTGTCATACTACAACTGGGCCCACAACCAGAGAGAGCATGACACCCTTTGTCGAATGATCTCCATAAGGAGAATTTAAATGAACCTATCTCATTAATAATCTCAGATATGAACAAAGCTTTTGTCCACAAAAAAAACTGTCTCCTCTCTTTGCGTAGGCTGGCAAACTGGAAAGTTTTCAATTAACTATAGTTTTCCGTTTCATCCAAGCCAGGAAACAATGGTTAATAATTTCAGAAAAAGCCATAACAGCAACCCAACTTCAAACCATGATTTAATAGCCTGGTTTCTTTTGAAGCTATTAATGTTTCCTTTTTGGATGAGATGGAGAACTACATGGAAGACTTATTGGTTTGCCTTGTGGGAAAAGAGGCGCTAAGGGGCTCTGTGCACAGGAAAAAAGGATCGTTCATATATCAGCATATTAAGGCAAGATATGTCTAAACGCAATCACAGATATCCCCATTTCTAAGAGTCAGGCATCATGTAGTAGAAACTGCTCAATTCATCCAGGCATTTTAATAATGGCTTTTACCAAACAGTGACTAACTTACTTTCACAATGAATGGTTTTAATCTGCTGTTCTATGTAGTATTGACTTCCAGGC